CTACTCAGCACCGGTGAGACCACAGCTGGAGTGCTGGGCGCAGGTCTGGGCTCCCCAGTACAGGGGAACTATGGAGCTACTGGAATGAGTCCAGCACAGGGCCACGAAAACGACTGAGGGACTGGAGCATCTGTCATGTGAGGAGAGGCTGAGAGAGCTGAGACTGTTCAGCCTGGAGAAGAGAAGGCTCAGGAGGCTTTTAGCAATGTGCTTAAATACCTGAAGAGACAAACTTTTCTCGGTGGTGTCCAGTGACAGGACAAGAGGCAATGGGCACAAATTAAAAACCACGTAATTCAATCTGAACACAGGAAAACACTTGTTTACTGTGAGGGTGGTCAAACACTGGCACAGGTTGCCCAGAGAGGTTGTGGAGTCCCCATCCTTGGAGATATTCAGAACCCAGCTGGGCAGCCTGCTCCAGCCAACCCTGCAGTGATGGACTAGATAATGTCTAGAAGTGCCTCCCAACCTCAGCCTTCTGTGACTCTGTGATTCTGCCATCTGTCAATCATCTTTAGACGTGATTTGTAGATCAACTTGTGAAAGTTCGCAGCATACACAAAGGCCATTGAGACACCCCTGTTGCTAGGACATAGTCCATAGCTTAGTATCTAGGAAATGCTGATGAGGAGGAAATCCGCAAAAGGCCATGCATTTTTTCTGTAAAAGGAAAAGGAGTAAGTAAAGATTACATAATGATTTTTCCTCATCTACATGAGATAAATTCTAACACATTCCTCCTTTTGCCTGCTCTATCCTATAGTGAACATTTCACACTTTGGCAAGAGGAAAGAGAGATTCCACACCTCAAAGGGTCATTGTAAAATATTAGCATTCCCAATACGGACACCTGCTGAATGTGTTGTATTTTATAGATTCAGCATTCGTTAAAGTCTAACACATTTATACACTCTAAAATATTGTAGTTCAGAAAGATCAATTATATACAGATGGAAAATCGGGACCTAGCACAAATAGACACACAATACTAGTGATAGAAAATGATGTTGTACATGGAGCGTGCAAATTATCTGGGATTGTGAAGTGGAAGATACCAAAATAACATTGCCATTATCATGTTAACTGATGTTAGCACTAATTATGATACATATTATCAGTTTTCAAACATGCAAGTTGGAACTGTCAAGCGGGCATAAACCCTGTAATGCTTAATTTTTTAAAATTATTGGATATCTTACTGACACATGCTTCACAAGTCCTCATGGCAGACAAAGAGGATTTTAAGCATATCCTGAAGGTTAATTCAAATGATTAAGACTGTGGTCACACGAGTAAGTCAACTCTGTGATTACCTGAGATAGCTCAGTTGGGGGCGGGGGGGAAGCAAGCTGTGAGCAGGTAACATAATCCCTAAAATTAATTTAGCTGCTCCCCATGAGTGGTAAATTTTCCCTGGATGAGCCAGAGCTAAGTTTGTCTCACTTTCAAATGCCTGCATTCCTGTGCACTCCCTGCTCCTTCTTCAGCCCTTCAAGCGAGGGCGGTTTGTTCAGAGGCAGCTGCGACAGTGCAATTTGCTCTGTAGCCAAGCCTCGCCATTCCTGTGCCCGTTAGCTCAGGCTCAGCTGTGGCTCTGAGACTTGACATCCTCAGCTGTAATGCCAAAGCAGCCTAAGGCAGTCCTAGACTAGAATCAGTCAGTACGCTGGCCACTTTGGCTTTGCCCTTCATGTCACAGTCACCCTGGCCATGCGTTGGCATGTCCTCCGCAGCGTGCTGCTCTGACTGCTCTCATCTGACCCCATGCAGAGCCATTTCAGTGGCCTGGCAGGAAACCAACTCAGCCAAAAAGCCCCTCGTTATCAATTCTCAAATCACAGGCTGCATCATACGGGGAGTTCTCTGCATCAGATGCAGGTGGAGCAGAGACTGCACACAAAGTACAGGAGAGGTAGGAGCAAGGAGGAGAAGTAGAAGAGCAGACTTTGAAAGCTGTAAAGAAAATAGGGTTTAGGGAGACTGGGATGGGAAACAAGTGGAGAGGTGACCTGGGCTGGCTGGGCAACAAACGGGGATTGTCTTCAGCGGAGACTGAAAGAGCTGGGAGGGAGAGACTGGTGCTTGGTGGAAGTAGGGAATACAGCTAGGAGGAGGGAGCGGGAGAGGAGAACTAGGATCCGTTAGGTGAGGAGCATGGGACTGCAAACACTGACTTGGAGCCTGGAGGGGCAAAGTAGTACTTTCTGGGTGACGCGAGGAGTGACGACTAGAACTGGCTGCATGTGGTAAGTGGGGCCGTAACAAGCACCCAGAGACGGGGCAAAGACAGACTGGAGGGGCATTAGTGGAAGGAGGTGATGACTGGGGAAAGAGGGGAGAAAGAATTTGTGCTCTGTGGAAGATACTCCTCTTCCGCACTGAAATGGAGCCCGAGAGTCCCCATCTGACTCTCACCTTTAAGCTATACAGTGTACAGGGTGAATCTGTGCTAAAGATTGTGTACAGCAGACTGAGCAGGACCCCATGTTTTTGTTGAAGAAATGTGAAACTATATAGTGAACAGTAGTTCCTCAGGGAACCAGGTACTCAGGAAGAAAAAACGTGTGGGGATTTTTTCCTCCCCTCACTAAAACTTAAAGTGGGCGTCAGCTCTTTCCATGAGTGCAAAAGTGGTTGAGTTTGATGGATGCCTAGAGTGCTTGTTCCTAAAGCACGCTGGCACTATCCTCACGAACGCCCTGACTGCTCCAAAAGGCTTCCAGTCCTAGAAATCCCTTGGCAAACAGACCTGAATGACATGACCCCTTTGCTGAGTATGTGCCCCCTCAGCTGCTGACAAATACTAACTGCATGTATCCATAGGGTAGTTGGAAGTTCAGCGCATGTTTTTGGGTGGAGGGCTTTATTCCACTTGGAAGGATTTGGGGGTGGAGGGAAAGAACCGACCACAACCACAATACTTGCCGGAGTGGGTTACAAGAGTAAAAATAGTTCGGGACAAATATAAGGCATGGGAGCCTGAACTCTGCTTGGAGTGACCAAGAGTCATGTGGGCTTTGGCTGTCACTAGGAAAAGGACCTCCTCATCTTCTGTGGGGAAGGGAAACCTGCAGTTCAGTACACCAAAGCAGCTCTCCAGGTGACAGAGAAGTTGTGGAGAAAGGTCATAGTTGATAAACCATGACTAAAATTTCTGGTCATTCAATGAATACAGGAAAAACGCCAGAATTTGTCATTTTGTTTCTGTTGACTTCAGCTTTCGTCAGGTATAGGTTGGTTGGGTAGGCAAGGTCCCTGCTATCTGGCTTGTATCTAATATTAACTCCCGATAAGCACTTCACGCCCATCCCAGCTACTGATAAACCGTCATTAGCGATATGTGCACACGGGATTTTAAACAAATGCCGTGTTGCACGACGACTTCAGAAACGCCCCCCAACACCCACGCATCTGATCATCAGGATTTCATCATGAAAGTCAGCAAAGCCACAGACGATTACTGCTTGGCCTTCTGTGGACAGCACTATGTGCCCGCATGCCATGCAGCACACAGGCGGCAAGTCCCAGGCTTCCCGAGAGCGCTGAACTTTCCGCGCTTGGACTGCGCAGAGGGCTTAGCCCACGTGCTTTGCGCGCGGGGCTGTGGATGGCATCAGCTTTACCGTGCATAAACAGAGCACCCGTGCTGCCCGTTGCTGCGGGTTCAGGTGCGTGACTGGGCAGCGCACGTGCCCCACGGGCGCAGGAAGAGGACAGGCCGCAGGCGGCGGAGCTGGCCTAACTGTGGTGGGGAGCCTGTGGAGCTACCACCGCCCAGCCAGCTACAACTGCGCGGCGGCTCTCACGGGCCTGGGGTTCAGAAATACCGAAGAAACATAAAGGGGAAAGCAACGTCCAGGCAGACAGGACTTCCAGCTGAAAAAATAAAGGAGACGTTGGAGAAAATACGGTGTTCATTTCCAAGCTCTGCAGAGTTATGGCATGCCTTGCGCTTGAATCTAACCTCAAGGAATTGGCGCATAGAGAGCAGCTGAAGACTTAAATTAGCGTGTTTTGCTGGTAAACACGCGCGCGAGCAACGTTAACGCGCGCGCGCGTTAAGTCAGCAACAAAACACAGCGGTTAAAAGGATGAATCGCGGCCGGCAAGGCCGCCCGCGCGCTCGGCGCGGGGTAAGAGAGGTCCCCCGGCGGCCGCCCGCGGAACTCCTCTAGCGGCA